TATATATATGCGTTAATCACATATACATGTGTGTCACCAAATAGCATTACATGCTTTATACCAGTCACATGTGCATAGATCTATTTACAACCACTAGGTCAGGTTCATGTCTGTGTTGATTACTATATATTATGGTTGCTTTGTTTCCAACTGACCGGGACAGACAATCTAATAAAATTACAATCACTACTATTCTGTACAAACACAAACACATTTATACCTACTCTACTATTCTGTACAAACACAAACACATCTATACCTACTCTACTATTCTGTACAAACACAATCACATACCTACTCTACCATTCTGTACAAACACAATCACATTTGTACCTACTCTACTATTCTGTACAAACACCATCACATGTATACCTACTCTATTATTCAATACAAACACAATCACATGTATACCTCCTGTACTATTGAATACAAACACAATCACATGTACACCTACTCTACTATTGTATGCAATACAATCGCATTGTTACCAGACATCTCACTATACATAACCCCTCCTATTCCACTTGTCACAGTTGGGCATCATAACTCACTGAATCACTTCTGGTCTATCTTGTATAGGTTTTGGTTGCCAGACATCTCACTATACATGGCCATTTCTTGTTCCACTCGTTATAGTTGGGCTCGAGAACGTCGATGATGACGAAGACGCGGAGAAGCGTAGCAACTCATCGTCAGTGTTGAAGAAAATGGCGTCACCAGTCACAGGTGCTATGGATGCAGTACACAGACTGAGCATAGGCAAGAAACACAAGGACGAGAAGAAAGAGGTGTGTGGCTGTGGGCACTTGGTGGGCAGTGGATGTGTGGTGTTGTATTGAGATTGGTACGAATTTGATGCAGACCAATAACCGTGGTGAAGCAGAAACAGAGGTTCAAGGTGTGCGATAGAGTGTGATTTTGTCCTGCCCTGAGTCCAGTGAAAAGGGACAAAGGTGCTGAAACAGAGGCGCAGAGCGCGTGCGTGCATGCATGCGTGCTTGGTGTTTGTGTATTATGGTGTTGGGATTGACTCGAGGGACTTTTAAATACAACAAGATGTCAAGTATACCTAGTAAGTACCCAGTGAGCCTCAGAGAGTTCGTCTGTGAGTGAATGTCATATATTTTATTTCGTCTGTGAGTGAATGTCATATATATTATTTCGTCTGTGAGTGAAAGTCATGTATATTATGCTCTGCAAAAGGGTGTTCTTACGGTTCCTGGCGATTTCTAGTGACTCGGAGTGCTGAGATGGTATTGTATCTCATCACATGCATGTCCCGCGCACTCTTACTGTAGTACAGTACATAGAACACCCTCTCTCGGCTAAACACCCTCCTAAAACCTTAAACACCCTCTCTGGGCGGAGCCTCAGACTGCTCACATGTGCCAGACACTCGCGATTGCCGTAGATTAATTGGTATAAGTGTCTTTCACCCAACTACACACTCACCAAATGACAAATGCCCACAGGCTGTTTGTTAGTAGACTTCGTTTTAGGGTTTTAGGGTTTAGGGTTTATTCGAGCGGTATAGCGGAAACTTAATCGTCTGAGACGAATCATATAACACACATGCTCTGGTTTGCGATGCCTTGCGCACAATCCGCTAAGTACAAACGCATGTTTGATATCTTCCTGATTTAATCGAGAGTTCTTTATGTACAATCGCATGTTGGGCATCATCCTGAATAGTTTCTTCTTCATCTTTATAAAAAATAGGGCTTGAATTCGGCGTGTAGTGCCGAAGTAGAACTGGAAGAACACTCTAAAATAGAAATCGATAGTTCAGGAAGCGTCAGACCTAAGGCGGATGCTGATGGCCACGAAGCACTCACTCACAAATTCTCAACTGCCACAATGCGATACAAGCCTTCTCCACTCTCCGAGTATGATGTTATATATATATATATATATATATATATAGTATAGTAGTAGTATGTATTTATA